TTTAGCTTTCTTAACGTGGTAAAAAAGCGCCAAAATTCTTTCAAAGACTAGCTTATGTACAGAGAACTTCCTCACCAATTACTGCAAAAGAGCACACATCAAACTTGTGTATCGATTAATTGATTATACAGTGATACTATTCTAGAAGCCAGAGCTGTCTTTTTTCTTACAGAGGTATATCAGTAACTGTGCCTGTAGTCCTGGTTCCCTGAGCACTGACGCTGCAGACCTGGCTAAAGCACATCTTAGCTCCTTTCCAGGCTAGCTTTACTGTAAGAAGTCAGGAACCTGGGGATAAAGATTGAGCAATACACTAAAATCTTCCATGGATACAGGATTTGGACATGAATGGCACATGTAGCCAGACCAAAAAACTTAAAAACACTCTCAGATCTTGCTATGTGGACATGGCCAAGATGATGAGCATTTCTTTGCAAAGATTTGTAAGACTGTTACTGACACCACAGGCTGTGTGTGTCCACCACAGCTTTTCAGCATGCCTCTCCTGGGCTCGTAACATTAACATTCCTTTCAATTAGCAACACAGAGAGGAGCTAATGACTCATATCTCCTACAGGTATGGAGTAGTTAAAGAACTGAGTGCCATGCCATCTCTTGTAATTATGTTGATAGGTTTGACAGGCCTAGAAACTTTAATAACATCTTAAAAGCAGACTTCCTAATGTAAACAAGAAGCTGTTAACTAAAGAGAAATGGAAGAATCAAAATGTAATTGCCTATTGCTATGCCCCTTATTTCCTCCTCTTAAGGCAGTAATTCCTCTGTATATATCTTAGTTCTACAAAGCAATGAGATCTGATGACAGCTCTGATTACCCAAAATTATGTTCACTGTCTTATCCTGATTTTCTGATGATTATAAACCAATAGTCTTAACGTCGTGCACAGCTGGGGATATTCCCAAGGACAACACACAGTTCTGATTGTCTTAGTGGAAACAAATGTAGTAAAAATCTGCAATGATTCTCCACAAAACACTTGACACAGTGAGCATTAGGCTGGGTACCAGAAAAGCCTGTCTTTTACGGGATTCACTCTTTTACATATGGAAGCATGTGCTAGATCATTCTCCATTCTCTGAAGAATATCAGAACTCCATTGTGTCAGGCATCTAAATAAGCTCCTTTTCTGTTCAAGTCGTACTTCAGAAGATTCACCATAAGCCCAAAGCAGTTTTTTTAACAGAAAAAAGGTGATGTTTTAATTCATGAAATTGATTGTCATGGTTTCAAATAAGTATTGCCATCTAACTTGCGCTTTAGAAATTAGAATGAACAAAGTGACTAAGGAAATAAGAAAACTTTCTTTGTTTGCACTCGTATGTATTGTTAGTCAAACTGGTATCCATTTATTGGAAAAGGAAAAGGTATATTTTTAAAAGAGAAGAAACTACATAAAAAAGAATATAGTATTTGCTCCTTAGAGCAAATTACATTTGCTCTTCTTTCTCATGGGAGTAATAGTCCTCAGGAAACAACATGAACAAGGATGAATGATTGTCCGTCAAATTCAACTTGTATGAAGAAAATTCTTTTTTTTTAATTAATCTACAAAGTAAATTCCTGTGATACAACTAGACTATTTCAAGGAAAATTTCTCCCATCCTGGGCTATCACTTCTGTAAGTATTCTGTAATTTGACCTTTTAATTTTTCATAATAGCATGGCAGATCTTTCCGGGCATCAAAATTCAAATGAACATAGCAGACATCCCACTTTGCTTCATAACTGTTGAATGCAGAGTTTCTGAGACTGAAGAAAAATTAATTGAGAAGAGTTGTGTCTAAGCGTAGCCACTTGCGTAGCTGTGGCCAAGCTCTCTGTTTGTTGGCTTCTCCTAACATAGGCTAACACACAGGAACTTGAGTGGCAGAAGTTCTGCTGGAGAGGTGTTGCTAGATACAAGGTGGCAACAAACTGCTCTTCACTGGTGAATCATGGGAGAGAAAAAGCTGTCCAAGAAGTAGCCAGTCCTGTTTGGGATGAATGTGACCAAGGGAAAAAGCAGATGCTCTATATTGGGACTCGTGCAGTGTTCTCCCCTAAAAAACATTAAAAAATGTTCCTTGCCAGTGTACCTCATGAAGAAAGGGAGTGGTAGAAACCACATTTGACTTGCTCTTGAAGTCAATACTTTTCTTTGAGTGTGGTAAGCAGCTGGGGCATCTCTTCAGAAGCTATGAAGAATTTCCTTTTATAGCTAGGAAGTTGGACCGAGTAGACTATATAAAGGAATTTAGTCCAGTCATAGATATAGCCTTGTGGTTGTGAAGTAGAGAGTTTCAACAGAAAGTAACTCAATTATTTCTATCTTCATTTCCACCCACAACTCCCAAGGAAGAGACAGAAGCTTTGACCTTGAATTTGAACCAGGAGTTCCACCTCAGCCAAAAGGTATTCTTTATATTTGGAGTCTCTAGTGAAATACAAAATGATGGAAGAAAAACCTTCCCTCACAGCTATTTCCTGTGCAAGTTCAAGGGAGACATTACCATTGATTATACTTTATATGAAGGAACCAGAGTATGAGAATAGAAGGCTTAAAATACAATTTAAGTTGACGTTCTCTTCACAATAAAAGAAAAAAGTTAACTGGATTTTTACTTCTGCAAAGGATAGAGCATTCTTAAAAAGCCACAGGAAATGGAGCAACATTTTTAACTTCCAATAATATGCTACATTCTCTAATACATTTGATATAAGAATCTCAAATCGTTTCACCAATGTTACTGGATTTATGTTTCTATAGTTCTATATTTTAGATTAAACATTAACAAATATGAGGCAGAAGGCTACAACAGATTAAATTACTGCCTCTTGAATCAGAAGCAGTCGGATAGAGGACACACATTTCTTAGCGTTCAAGGGCCACGTATCAACTTCATAAAATTCCTATTGAACGTTGCAATTGCAGTCTGTTGGTTACAACAGTGCAAGACTTTCCTAAAACAAGGTGGTTATTCATTAGTAAAATCTTCCATAGTCTTCCATACAAAACAAGGTAGACCTTTATGGTGTCAACAGTGACATTAATTTCAAGTGAAACTCAGAATGTAAGAAAACAACAAAGAAAACTAGAGAGAAAGTCTTTACTGACAGCACATAAAACTCAAGATTACAAGAGTAAAGACCTCCTTTAAATGTCAGAATCCCATCCTGGTATTTCAAAGTAAAGAAGACATAGTAAACTGTGTATGGGAATGTAGAGATTTGAAACAGATTGTGCAACCTTAGAATAACTGAGCTTGGAAACAAAGAGGGTTTTTGATGATGATTTGCGTTTCATATGTCCTTTTACCTCAAGGAACACAAAGAGCACATGTAACAATAAGTCTGATTGCTTGGCAGAACCTGCCACTCTTGTGGTAAGCAAGCGTGATGGTTCTCTGAACAAGCAGCAAATATTTTTCTGAGAGGAATGACTGGGAAAGTGCCTAAGATACATACAAAAAAAAAAAAAAAAGTGCTAAGCTGTTCTAAGGATGTAGTATATTGTCTCATTGTTTTCTGACACGGAAACAAGAGAGGGAGATTAAAGTCTTTCTTTACATTCCTTCCGACCACAAAGAGAAAGTATTTGTAGGACACCGAAATAACCCCTTTAGTGTAACTCAGCTGCTGGTAAATGTAACAGATTTTGGTGTTCAAATGAACACATAAAGAGTTGGTGGAAAAATGTAAATTCCTTCATGAGAGATTCCAGTATTTTTAATATTATGTTTAGCACCAGTATACTAAGTTAAACTGTACCCTAGAGTAGATGCTCATTAACGGTAACTAAAGTGTTGAATACAGAAAAGCAGGGTTCTTTAATGAATTACTTTGCATCTACGAAACTAAGGCTCTCAGTTTCAAAGATACACTTTAATAGAAATTGCCAAGAAGATAGTGAAAATGTCTGCAGCTTGTATGTTGAGGAAATCAGGATTTTCTGTAAACTAAAGGTGCAAGAATCTGATTTTCCCCTCTATTTTTACTGCAAGCAAGGAGAAAAACGTTGAAAGCAATAACTCCATGAATAGAAATGGATAAGAAAGGGGTGAGTAAGATCAGAAAAACAAAAGTGATAGCTTAGAAGGCAAGAGTTATAAAAATAAATAGAAAAAAAAAACCCAACATGATTAATTTATTGTCTTTATAGCCTAACCACCCGATATTTCCTTTTCTTAGTTATATGCTTGTTTGGAAAGGTAACTGAGGCCCTGAAGGACGGGTAACTTCAGACCAGAAATTCGAACAAGGACATGTGGTTATTAAAAGTAAACACTAGCTTCAGAGGCTCTAGAAGCACAAATTCTTGCATGTTTTGAATAAATATATTAATGAGTGAATTCAGAATTAATATATCCTTAGCTAAAAGTTTCATTAACTTTATGTTATTTGAGTAACTAATAGCTTAAAATTATAAATAGATTTCTACTATTTACAAGTTGTGTATTTCTTGATCTTGACAACCCCTGTAAGGACGTATTAAAATAAAAGAGTTGTTACTTATCTAACTACTCCAGCTTTGCACAATTTAAAATCTTTGCATAGCTGTCTGTACTTGTTAGTCTTTATCACACCATGCATGAGTTTTCCATCACCTGTATTTAACTGATGAAGCATGTGGATTCTTGGATGTTGTAACTTTGTGCTTGCTGCCTCCCAGCTTTCCTGTTTTTCAAACCAGATGTTGAAGCTTAGTGTGTTTTTAATATGATACAACTTAAACTGTTTACAAGTAGTCTGACATAACAGGTACATGCAGTTCTGCATTATGAATGTCTTGGGTCTAGCATGTGCTTTCATCCACTTAATTTCAGTGGCAGGACAGCACAAAGCAGTTACTGAGACTTCATGGTCACTGAAGACTTGGGCATCTCCAAGATAAAGGATACTAGTCATACTCAGCAGCTAAGCTCATTTAGAGCAGCTGCAAATCCCAACACAGATTACATGGAAAAGTTTAGCAGTTGAACGAAAGAAAGTGGTGACTTACTGAAGTAAAAGCCTCTGTCTCCACACACGAACTGAAGAGCATCAACCAGCTCAGCACCACAAAGTGTTTCTGGGCCAGCAGCAGCAGAACTGGTTAAGGTAAGCAAACACAGGCCAAGGTAGAAGAAATGAATGTAGGACACAGTGTGCATCCTCACCTGCCAAGGAAGCAAAAGCTATGTCAGAATTTCCCAAGAGAGTCCTAAAGAAAATGACTCCTGCATCCTTGTGACTTGAGAATGCATTATGTACTGCAATATGTTAGACAATAAACACAGTATCAGGAAATGCCTCACCATAATTTTGCAACTGTCTACATATTCTAGTCCATGTATTTTGTAAACTGATTACTTCCTCTGGTGAATATTATTGGTTCACATTCACCTGTAGTTAGAGAACCTTGTCGTAATTATGATTTATGGTTGCTCCTGCAAAAGGAGGATATGGAAAAGTGCAATAGACAGGCAAAGGAAAGCCCAGAATAACCAGAGTAAGGAAGACTAGATAACATTGAATGATTTTGTCTGAGACCAGTTAGACTAAGAGGGAATGTGACAGTTGCCTGCCAATGTACTGTGGGAGATGGAGGAGGCATGACAGAGAAGAGCTATTTAAACTGAAGAACAGCACTGGCACGAGAATAAATGGCTGTAAACTCGATGGAAGGAAATTTGGCCCAGTAGGAAAAGGATTCATAGGTAGTATTCCATGGTTCTCCAGTCACCTTAAAAAGGGAAACACCAGGACAAAACAAAAGAAGTTTCAAGGTAGAGCTTGCCAAAGTTACAGAAGAGTTATGTGGGACCTTCCATACTAGGGCACTGTATTCAATGACTCTTACAGTCCTCTGTTGCTAGCAAGTTAACATTTGGAAGCATTCAAGAAATTAAGAGAACTAGTGAAAGTGTTAAGAATTTGTATTTTTACTTGATGGAAGTAGCTATACTTTCACTGACCTCCGTTATATCCTCTTAGTCAGGATTGGTTATAGGGTATACACAGAGGTGATAATTTCTTTCTTATTTACATTTAGTTACAAACTATCTTTTTCCTGGAATTATAGTTGAAGAAAGGCCAGTCCTCAATGGGTGTAAATTTGCACCATTCCACTTATCAACTTCCTTTTATATCAATTTATATCGATCAAAGATATTATCCAACATGTCAAAGAAGATAGCATTAAATACCAGGGGAAGCTGTTTATAGTCAGTAGCAGGACAGTGAAGAATGTGCTTAATGCATACTCTGAAGATTTAGATCACTTGCCAAAAATGCTGGTTTTGAAAGGTGTAAATCTGTGTTTAACTTAATTCTCTTTCAAGGTTAACATTCGTATTGCAGTCAGGTAAGAAGTTACAAATCCTTTTTGCACGTACTGTTAACCTTGGCTTAAAACTGCTTTCTATTATCAGACTAGTGCAAAGTAATTGGAATAAAATGATTAGTCTTCCCTAAAGTTTCTTTCAGGGTTTCAGAGAAAATTTAATCTTATTTTTTCACTGACCTTTAGAAAAACTGATGAAATTATCTATTGTCTGCTCATATGGGATCTCATCCAGTGGGGTATTGAGCCTTCTCTAGTCAATAATTTTTAAGAATTCTTATTTTCTTGGCAAAGGATCTTAGCACCTTGCTGGATGAGTCCCCTATTTCAACTTAAGTCAAAGGTGAATAAACGACAAACCTATAAATAAGTCAGGATTTATCCCCCTTTATTTCCTGATATTTCCACTGTGAAAATAATGAACAAATCTAAATCCCATGATATATCATAAAAGGAAAGAATAATTATTTTCCCATTCACAAGAGTCTTTAGCCAACTTTGCCATGCAAAAACCAACAAGATTTAATGCATGGACATGGCTTCAGTGACAGATGGAGGAAGATCAGATTACAGATGAATGATGATAACACAAGGCATTATTGCCTGTAATGATTCCATGTCTTAACAACATCAATTTCTTTTTTCCTTTGCCATAATTTTGCATTTCTAAGATAAATGTGATGCACCTGCAGCTTAAGATGGTTCCCAGCTCTGAGGAGGTAAAGCAGAAAACTATTTAGCACACCACCTCAGAAGGCTGAAAGACATTACAAATACAGGAACATTATGTATTTAACAATTTGTTCTTGTATGACATTTGGGCCAGAAATAAGCACAAATCTTAGCTATTTAACAATTTTGTATTTTTCAAGACTTTTCAGCTGGGTTGTATTTCAGATAAATATCAGCACTGAACTACAACAAAACAGATTATCTACTGTTTTTCCTTTAGTGGAAGCCAAAAAGGCTGCACAGTATAAACCACAGAGAATTTCTAACTTTATCTCTAAATTTAAAAACAGTCAAGATCTTTCAAACAAGTAAAAACTTTGGGGAAAAGAAAACAGACTCACATGTTTCTAGGGCTCAATAAATTAGTTGTTAAATTAAGTGCCATTTCTTCAAAACTAATTCCAAAACATAGTTTAAAATTTGTACTTTACTTCATCATTTAAATTAAACATAACATTAGTCAATTCAACATGCTTGTGATAAAATCAAAGTTCCTATTTATGTCTGAGGGGAATATTCTTAAGCAAATACAAAGTTGTAATCCAATATTGCCTCAGGTTCTTTACAAACAGGCAGAGTGCTCACAATATCCCCAGTTTGACTAGAAAGCTGAGAGTTTAAAACACATTGGCATGTGGGTGGGGTTTGTTGAAGCATCTAATTACATTTGGAAATTGAATACAGGTTCAGGATGAGCCTGGTTAAGCACTTCTTTTAGTTGCTTAGAATGACTGACCATATTTTCACAGCTGGAATTTCCTCTTTTTTTCAGTAAAATAACCAGCTTTTGCTGCATTCCTCTTTTATAGTCCAGAAGAGTGGCACCACAGAGGAATGTCATATATGAACACTTTACATCTCTTTTAGTTCCTAATTCTTCTGTATAAATCCTTTTTGTCTAACAAATGTTGCAAACTATCAGTTGGCACAAGTTGTGCATAAGAATTCTTCACAGGTTTGGTCATTTTAATAATATATAAGAATATCTACAATAATGATAAATATCTTGAAGGGAACAACATTTTTACAGAGAGTATATGCTATAGAAAAAAAGAGTTATATTCAAAATTATATTTTGCTACATAGAAGTTGGACTTGATTACCAAGACATAGTAGAAGTATGTAATTAGTGTGTAATAACAGTATTCACTAGTAATTATTATATAAATGAAGCATATATACTCTAGTATGGATCAAGGTTTACATACTGCTAACTTTGATGAAAGGATCTGGGCTACATCCTGACTTAAATCAGTATGTTCCATTGATTCCAAGGAAGCTTGGCAGGATGCACCAGCTGAGGAACTAGCACATTACTTTTATGTCTCTTAGTGCCTTGCTCAATACTTTAAAAAAAATTCCCTTCAAGTATATTGGAAGGCATGCCCATTTATACATTAAGAGAATGGTTTCGCCCATTGCAGTTACAGACCTGCTCTTTTGAACCACATTAAGGAAAAAGTGTGTTTTAAGTGTAAGACATTTTTAAAAAAATAATTAGGCCCTAAACAATTAAAACAGGAGAATTCTGTCGATTGCATAAGAATCCTTGCAAAATATTAAACAAAAAAATGTTCTTGAAGGGTATAAATTTGCTGATAATGGACAGTTGAACTAGGGCCAGCTGACAGAAACAGAGATCAATGCACCTACTGAAGCCAAATTTACTTAAAGACAGTTTATATTAATGTGTAGAAATTATAGGGTCGTAACATGAAACTTCACATGCAAACTTTCCTGAAACAGCTCTCCCTACAAGGGAAAACTTGGAGATGAACATGTAAGGGAATTTCCATTTTCTTTATGTACAATTGCTTAAGCTATACAAATATGCAAGGTCAGCAAGAGTTGCAGCTGGTTTCTAACGTAGAAAACAAACAGAACTTCGCATTTACTTTTAATTTATGAAAGCAAAACCACGTAAATTCTACAATGCTGCCAGAAAATAGCTGTAGTGACAACATCCCTTAAAAGTTTCCCTGTGAAAACATTAACACTTTATCTATGATTGTGTATCGTAAAACTGCAGAAACTTAACATGTGAATAATACATTTTTTCCTATAAAACCCTGCACCTGCAGAAAATAACTAAAACTTCTTGTCTTCAGAAGCATTAATTAACAATATAGACAATGATGTAATTGGACCCTTTAATAATGACATAACTGAAATATTGCAAAGTTCTCTGAACAGAAGTGAAATTTAAGACATGTATCTGCAATAGTTTACCCTTACAGTTATCTATGTAATTGCAACTATTACATACAGCCATTTTCCAGAACACATAAAATTGCATGTTCAGCAATTTATAAATAATTCTCAGTTCTAAAATAATGTTATTGAAAAGTGCACAATACTCCTCAAACCAGAAGCAGACAATACACAGTAAAATAAAACTAAAAAATAATTTGAAATAGTAATAAATATTTACCTTCAAGAAATCACAAAAGCAGCACTTAACTAATTGTGTTGAAAGACTGTTGATTTTTTCCATTGCTTCTTAAAAGTGCAAAGTCTGGAAATGAATTTGTTAGCAGTAATGATGAGAAAAAAGAAATCCAGAGAGATGTGAGATGTTGAGAGCAATGTCACATTTCAATATTGAGGACTTTATTCCATTGCGCAGGCTCTATCTGCTCTGATTTTAGCAGTGACAGTGAGATTTAGCAAACAGAAGAGGGATTTAGAGAAAATCCTCACATTTATCTACATTACACAGACACTGTAGACAGGAAACAGCTGGGGGAGCATTTGCCTTCTCTCTCTCTCCCTCTTCTGGCAAAGTTACCGAGTAAGGACTTTTTTGGGCATGGTGACAAATAACATCATACCTTTGCATTTTAAAACTAGAGCACAGAAGCATATTTTTTTCCCTTTAAAAGAATGTGCATTAGTGACTGAGGGGTTAGCAGACAAAAAAGCCTGTGCTGCCACGAAAAATAAGAAAATGTATTCTGGTTAACTTTCAGATAGCTATGTGTGCATTTGTATTTATCTCTGTGTGTGTGTGTCTGCATTTCAAATATACAGAATCTTATATATGTAAGGGCATTGTCGTGTATGTGAATATCTTCATATGTATGTACACATTTTATTTATGCATGGAGACTCAGGTATTTTATTTATACAGTATAGAAAGACAGGCATTCGATTATCTACTTTTTTCCTAATGAATCTTTACATTATTAAACCTGGCAAGCCTATATGCTGAGTAACAATTAAAACCTCCAACTCTCTGTACTATTAACCCTAAAATAGCAGTTTGTAATTTGCTAAAAATAACAGAATTGTTGAGCGTTACTTGTAAATAGGGCAAAATAGCTCTGATCATTTAGCAACCACACAAGAGAAGTCTATTATTTCCTAGAATTTTACAGTACTATGAATATAGTAACACAAGTAGTCCAGTTTGGGGGGCTTCCATGACAATTATCTTAAATGTGCTGTTGTAATTTATAAAGTGATTTCCTCCTTTTTTAGTAATAATCTTCATAATTACTCTCGATAACAATTTAAATGACACTGGGCAAGAGAGAATTCAACTTTCTTAGTTCTACAATACCTTAACTTTTGCGTTTTTATTTTTCCTCAATTATGAGTATATTATAAATAACACCAGCTGGCCAGCAACATGCTCTCACGGGTTATGATGTCATTCAAATCCCTCAACTGTGCTAGTGGCTTGCAATGTGCTCCAAGCCAGCTGTTTTTCTATTTATAATGTATGCTTGCATTTCAATACTTAGCTATTGAGAATAAAGTTGTGATGCTGTTTTATAGACACAATTTATACTTGTTACCCTTTGGTTTTGGAAGATGGTATTTAAAAGTAGATGATGAAACAAGACTGCAGCTCCAGAGACCGAACACAAGCCACGAAAAATGCGTGATTTCCATAAAAGCTGTTTAGAACATTGCATTTTGTCCCTGTCCCCTTCCACTCAAGCGAGTGTTGCATGCTGAGGTGCTAGCTGTACTTTGTTATTGAAAATAACTATTGAGATCATGTTGGCCCGGGTCCATTCTCAGTTTTCAGATCCACCTTGAACTGTATGGTGCTTCTCAGGCAGGAAGGACACATTTAGTTATTTGTATCCTCTATGAATGGCTTATACTCTGCTCTGTGTAGGTTTAAACTGTGTTTAGTTAGCTAAGCTGTTAATCTTTGGAAGGGATTTCTTCTAATGTAGCATAATGGCAGAATCACAGAGGGCTTTGAGGTAAGTTTGTTTAGTTCAGGTAATAGCAGTTTTCCAAGTATTCTAATACACAATTGTACTGCAGGTGCTGTATTTTCATATTCTGGTCTCTTTTATTCTTCCTTCTGCACTTCAGACGTCATTGAATAGTGGCAGAATTCTACAAGTAGCTTGATGTAGCCTGCTGCAACTCATTGCACATGTATCACTTACTCCACCAGCATAATAACAGAATGTGAGAAGATAAATTATCAAAGCTCTGATATTCTTTATTTTTTACTTTTGTACTGTACTACCGATGGGTGCACATACTTCTGCCTTTTTCTTCCCTATAACAGAAGGAATCCACTCATTCATCGCTTCCCCACTGCCTGAGCTTCAAACCTTCGTTTCACTCCTCACTGCTTTCTTTCTCCTATGTTTCACCAGACCTCTCTTGATTATGACAGCAGCATGCAGTAGAAGATGCAACTTTTGGCTTCCAGGGCAGCCAAAGAATCACGGTGTCTCTACACAATTGCTAATCCTGTTTCTTTCCACGGAGCCATTCTGAAGTCCTATCCTCATTCCACCCGACCAGCCTAAATTTCTGATGCACTTCACTTCTTTCTTTTAGTTCTTGTTTTAAAGTGGTGTTGTGAAAAGGAAGGAAAACAGAATAGATTCAAGAGAGGGTTTTGGTAGTAATTTTTAGACTTACAGTTAGTGCAGTGCTTTTCCTCACTAACAAGTAATTACAGATTATTTTTTTTTTCTGGAAAATTAAATATTCCCCAAGACATATTGATCTGGGGATCACTGCTTTCCTAAAATATAGCTTCTATTCTGGTGATGATATTCTAGTCAGTATAGCAGTCTGTTAACTAGTGGAGATTTGTTCATTTCTCCCTCGTTAAATATGATAGATTTTTATAAACCATTTAGAATAAAGTACTGTATGATTGCTACTATATGATTGAGCACTTATGCATTTACACATATTCCCTTGAATAAAATGCACCTGTAAACTACAGAGTGTATGAGAGTCATCAAAGTACTCACAGAACATGTCCAGGTCAGAAAAAAAATATTTAATTGGAATGTGCATAGCTATTCTACTTTAAAAGGCAATAGCATATATATCTTTGTTTGACTTCCTAAGTATAATCTGCAGTGATATAGTAGCCACAAAGACATGTGAAATGTGTGAGACAGATAATCAGATATCTAGGAATTTGTATGTTCTAATCCTCATATTTTGTATTTTAATACTCCTGTGAAATCACTAACATGCCATAACGTTGTAGAGCTCATGTCAGTTTTTCCAGGGAAAACTCCATTTTATAGAAGACAGTTATCAAAACTACAAATAATCAATTATCCTAATTAATACATTATCCGTCCTTAAATCCTCCCTTAAAAGGTAAGAACGTTGTCAGAATGGCTGAAAAAATCTGAGCTATAGTAAGGCAACCGGTATACCATCCTCTTGCATTCTTCTATATTGGATCACTGTTCCCTATATGCAGTTTTTTTGTTTTCTGTAACTGTTGTTTCTTTTCTTATATTGGGATTTTAAGTATTCTAGAACCAAGACAGAACCACTATCTGTCTGGATGAGAGGATCTGAGAGGATGATAGGCCTGAGAGTACGGTGAAAGACAGGGTGGAAGAAGACAATAAACACAGTGGGTTCTGAAGAGCTGTTCTTCATGATATGAAAATATCAGAGACAAGATTGTCTTATATTATGTTGTTTTAAAGACACTCATCTTGCACAGAACGTACATAGATGCAGTAAGATTCATAGAATCACAGAATCATAAAATCATAGA